GCGGGGGCGCGGGAGCCCCGGCCAAGCCTAGGGACCCGAGCGCGCCCCCTCCCAGCGTCTGAACACGAGCAACTTCCTGCCGCCCGGGACGGAGTTTCTCCGTTGCCCATGGACGTCCAGGAAGCCGTGTGGAGGGCAAGCAGGGTAACTCCCACTCCCACCCCACCTTTATCCCGGGGAAGCCAGAGGAGCAAGCAAGTCCGGACTCGCTGAGGGGGCTCCACGCGGGGCCTCCCACGCACAGGTACGCGTTGGTCCTCCGGGTGTACCCAGTCTGGGAGGGAGTCGCAGTCACACACACTCCCATCCACTCTCCTATCCCGCCCTGGCACCATTGCTGGGAGTTGGGCGAAAGGAGCAGGGTGTCGGAGACCTATCCCCCGCCTCCACCGCCCCGCTTTCAGGGCGTAGGAGCTCTCTGGCTGCTCCATTTCAGAATCTCCCCTGGTCTCAAACTAGAACTGGGGCTTCCACTGGCTGTGCCTCCCTTGGGGTCACCACCCGAGGCCTGCAAGCAAAGCGGGAGGAACGTCCGTCCCCAGGCCAGACAGGCCAGAGGGACCCCTGTGTGTAGGGCGCATGTATGGGGACTGCTCGCCTGTGCTTAGTGTGTGCTTGGTGTGCTGATTCTGGGAGCGTGCCCCGTGTACCTACAGAGTGTGTGACGAAGTCCACTGTGTAAGGGTCTGAGCCATATGCATGGGAACAGTTGTGTACCCGTCCTTGCCATGCCCCCGTCGTGTCAGAGTGTAGGAGGTCAGCGAGGGATCCACCCAGATCCAAGATCTCGCCCTGCTCGTCCCCTACCGCTGGCCCAGATTCCATTCTACTCCCAGGGGGCAGTGGCCTGCTTTGGCCACACTGCTCACAGCTTTGGCGGCTATACACTTCTCAGAGCTCAACCTGCCTTCTTCTTCAGCTCTCTTGAGCCCTTCCTTCCTTGGAGAGTGAGTAGAATTAAGGAAGGAGGGGTGGTGGAAATCCACTTCCACAGCCCATCTCACCTGGGGCGGAAGCAAGAGCCCAGAAAGCTGCTCTCTGCTCTCTAGGTCACCGCTCTCCGTTTTCAGCACCATCTCTCGGACAGCTCCACTCTCGTAGGCGAGGCCTCTTGGCCGGCTTTTGCAGAGAGCCTGGCCTGGGAGCGACCACCTCACTCTCACTGTGGTCCAGCCTTTCTAGCTTCTAACTAGCTTCGGAACCTGACTCTAGACCTTTCTTTCTACGCCCCCACCCCCAATCCACGCACAAACACAGAGTACCCATCAGGTGGCCAGGTGCACCTAGAGGCAAAAGCCAGCCTGCAGAATCTCAGAGGTTGTCTGGAAGGCCTCAGTATGTCACAACTGGACTTCCTTCAAAGGGCAAATGAATCTGAATAGGACCCTGCCACAAGTTCCCCTTTTCCTCTTCATTAAATTATCTGGGAAAAGGCTAGATCCCCCCAACCCCCAAGTCAGACTTCAGAAAGCATGGAGAAGGAGTCTAGAATTTTCTTGATTCTAAAGATCCAGTTGGTGTCCTGAGACATTATCATAGCTCCTCCTTTGTCTTTTTTCTTATGTCCAAACCTCACTGGGCAGGGTCATGGGATAAATCCCAACTACCTTTCCACCTACAGAGTAGACAGAGAGGACTCAGATGATTTGCTTCAGGGAGCCTCTTGTGGGGATGACATCTGAGCAGGTTTTCACTGGAAATGTGCCTGACCCAAGAGGGCCACAGAAGTGATTTTTGTGGTGACATATCTTTACATACAGATCATACTCACTGGGCGGTGGCCACCCAGGACCTCTAAGACAGCCTCTACCCCACATCCCAACACAGGTAGAATCCAAGGTGCAGCAAGGCAGTCTGTGACTCCTTCCACTCCTGGGTTTTTTGAGTTTGTGAAATACCAGCAAGTTACTACAATATTGTCCCAGACTCTTCTCTCCTCCTTGCTCAGTAATCATCTTACTGTCATCTCAGATCTGCCAGGAAGAGCAACAAGGGCCTATGTGATACCTCAGCTGGCTGAGAGATAGGTGGGGGAAACCATGGAGAAGTCACCTCTCTCTGTCCTGCCCCATTCTGTTTCAGAGATCTTCAGCCATGAGCCTTTTTCCCTGCCTAGGCACCAGACAACACTTCCTCCATGGATATTCTATTTCAGGCGTAGAGATCGGGCCAACCTTGTTAGATTGACCCAGAAGCAGATCCTGCTGTTATCTTTGCCCTATTAATGCCAGGCTGTTAGAGGGGGTTGGGGAGGAGGGCAAAAAAGCTCTGGGCCTGGAGCTGGCCTTGCACAGTCAGCAGGAAATAACCTTTTCTCTGAAGAGGCCATTGTTCTGCCTGCTGCTGAGCTACTAGCTAGAAGAGAGAAAACCCCCCAGAATGGGGGCAAGGGAAAGAGAGACAGCATCCTTAGTCCAATGGCAGTTCCTTCTCACAGGGTAGATGCTCAAACCTATTTCCCATGAAATCCTCAGTTTCCACAGGTCTCAAGGGAGCCACGAAGTGGCTGTTCTCCCAAAGAAAATAACTTTTATAAGGAAGAGCAGTGCGTGATCTGTTAAAGAGATGAAAGTGTGGGGAGAACATATACACTGGAAGCAGATGTGCCTTCCCCTAAAGGACAATGGGCTCCCCAGGGTCTTTCAGTCAAAATTCAGACCTCTGGGAGTACAAAGCAGCTGCCATCTGCTTAGCCCCACACCTGGCTACTTTCCAAGTTTTCTCCATCTTCTGGCTTTCTTCTGTTCTCAGCTGAGTAACATCTGGCCTAGCCTCAGCAGAGGGCTGGTCAAGGTCAAGCAGGTATAGGGAAGTTTGCCCTGAAGATATGAGCTTTGCTTCTCCTCCAGCTGTACACAGCAGAGGATGCAAAGAGGAGGCCAAAGTATGGTGAGGGGCCCTACCCTGCTGGAAGCCATCACATGGCATTGCACAGAATGCAGGAGTATAGGCTCCTCTTGTCCTTGCCTGATTACAGACACCATAGGCCAGAGGAGCACCTGGTCCATGAGTCCTAGGGTCAGTTGGTCAGCAGGGAGTGGACAGACACAGCACCATTCCCAGCACAGGGGGCAAATTCTCTCTTCAGTCCCATGCTGACTGCATGCAAGTCCTTATGATGAACCTGTTTCTTTGTCCACGTGATGTGCACTTGGTGAAGCAGAGATGTCACTCACAGCTTGAGAGGCTGCCTGAGCAGTGTTATATAAGCATCTGAATCAGACCTAGTGGGCAGAGCTGGCTCATTTGTTCATTAGAATGGCTAGGGCCCCTGACAGGCTGGGGTGTCTTGGGGTCTGGGAAAGGATGATCTAGGCCTGGTGGTAACATTTCTACCTCTGAGCCAACTGATCTTCCTGCTGGGGTCTCAGTCTCTTCCTGTAGATGAAAGTTCAGGCCCCACCATTCAGAAATCACAGGATTCCCCTTTCACTTTTTCAGAGAGGGACGTATATGTGGGGAACAGCACCATGGTGGTCAAAGTCACCCAGCCCTGGACCACAGTTTAGGGCTTTAGCTGGCAACTCTCATGTCCCCAAATAAAGGATGAGGACTGTCTAGAGAAAAATGGCAATATTTCTAAAATATACTCTTGAGGCCATGAAGAGCTTGAGGTATTCCCAATTGCAAGGATGATGTAGAGGTCCCGTGATCACCGCACTGTCCATCCACAGGACCCCTGAGTCCAGGAGGGACTGAGCTAAGGTCCAAGTAAGCTGGAACAAGATCACTGCGCTCTCTTCCCTATGGGAGATTCCCAGGAGACATGGATCTCATGCAGCCCTTGAGAGGGACTCAGTCCAGAGGTGTCCTGTAGCCACTTTGCTGAAGGTGAAGCTGGTGACACTTGGAATTGCCTCACATAGGGGAGGAGTATCCATGGGCAGCCACAGGTGCAAGGTTAGTACTGACCCTGGCGAAGGCCTGTGAGGGTGGCCTGGCCCTATCTCTCACATGTGACCTTCAGACAAGTCCCTTCACCTCCCAGCATAGAAACAGGTGATGCATCTGCCACCACTCTTCATGTGACGGTAGTCAGAGGCTGATGAGCTGCAGTGAAGATAAGTATCACGGGGGGTGATGCGAGAGTCCTGAATGCAAGAAGGCACCAGATACTCTCTTACAGTTGGGTTCTCGGCTGCTCCTGTGAATGGAAACTCAGGCACCACCATTCAGGAGTAGGAGAGGATCCCTCAACCCTGGAGGTTCAGGATTTGGAGTGTGTCAGCCTCAGAGTTCCAGTTTTCCTCTTACTAAATTATCTATTCTGGCTACCACTTATATACCCTGTTGGTGAAGGAAGGACTCCTGTCCTAACTTAGACAAGACAGCCAAACAGACCCCACCTGACAATGGACACATGTGCTTGGCAGCAATTTGCTAGTCTCATAGACTCAGCCTGATGTTAGAGGACAGCACGCATCATTCAGGACCATGGGAGGATTGCAGTCAGGAGCTGCACCGGGGCCTGAGTAAAACAGCAGGAGTTGTGAGATGCAGGCTTTATGGCGACAAGAGGGCAAGGTGCTCCTGATTGCTACAGGATGCTGCGGTTGGCTTGTTTGTAATTTCATGTGCTGGTGGGGAGGTGAAACCCATTAGGTTGAAGACAAGGGAGGTGCAGCTGCCCAGCTGCTCAAGGCACTAGCCAGCTGTTGAGTATTTCCCACAGGGTAGGAAAGAGCATGGTTAGGTCTTTGGAACTCAAAGACATGGAGGAACAATTGAAGACTTATAATGCATCCAGTTTAATACCCAATCTCATTAATCTCTACATCACCCCTGTGAAGTAGCTGAACTTCCCAGATAAAGAAACTCAGGCTGGATATGAGCAGAGAGCATCTGGATCAAGCTGTGTGCCTGGGTCTCCTGACTCCACTACACACTGCTCTCTTTAGGTCTGCAGCAGTTTCTCGCAGTGGGCAAAGGAGCACAGCCTGGCCCAAGCAACACTGCTGTCTCCAGAAGCCCCCAGAAAGCCTGTTACCATTTTCAGCACAGAATTCCCTGCAACTTTGTCTCTAGCTGGGGTGCAACTGGAGAGAACCTTTGGCACCTCTTGAGTGTGAAGCTGATGAATAGATTCGCTTATTAAATGGCTGGCATTTCTTTCCGAAGTTCAGGGTAGGTTCCAGAGCATGGGGCTGAGCATGGGGTTGGTGGGGAGACCTAGGTTCCATTTAACCTGGGGGGTTCCCAGGCACCCCCTCGATGTGTGCCTCTGGGCAGACTCACCCTTCTCTG